GTTTGTAGAAAAACTTTAAAACTTCATATCTTTTCCATTTCTCAACCAAATTCCATGAAAATTGTACCAAAATGAAGCTTACAACGAGTAGAACAAAACCTTACCACTTTTAGGACTTAAATCCAACAAAATCTTCCCGGAAAAACCTATGATAATCCGGCCAAAATTGAAACTCGCCAAACTCAACTTCCCGACGTCCAAAACACTTCGTTTTTCTTCTCCGAGCTTCGTGAAGACGTTCTAAAGCTCCCTAGAAGCTTAAAAACTTCTAAAAACTTCACGATCACGATTGCATGAACAGTAAATCAAATCGCGGTTCTTGGTTTCTCGGGAAAACGAAGGCTTCACGTCCAACCAAAGGTATGGATCGACTCCTGAGCTTGCAAGGAGTCCAAAAACACCAACAACGATCTTGAACTGTGACTGGAAAGGTTGGTTTGAGGTTTATCCGTACGATTGTACTGAAATGGAAGAAAATCAGAGAGAGAGGAGAAAGAGAGAGTCAATGGGAAAGGGTATGGGTGTGTGTGAGTGTGTGATGTCCAGCTAAGTCACCAACCAAAAACAAATCACCCACGACACCAACTAACGTTGAAGGGCAAAATTGTCATTCCATGCCATCGATAAAAAATATTTCGGGACGGGCTGTCACACTTCTAATCCCTGGAATAGAACGATCCCTACTTACTCGTACTACGATTGCATAATATACAAGGTTTAATTTGTGTATTAGTTTCTGCCACATCACTAAGTTGATGTAATTATAGAGGAAATATAATAATCACTGACCTTTGAGGCATCTTTTGATTAGCATTACTGCAATTGACTACCTGTATTAAAAATAGAGCAAAATTTTTCAGTTTATTTCGTGTTTGAAACTGTTGAGAAATTAAATTGCTCACTAGTTCAGGTGCAACCAAAACCTATAGAAAATAAACGAGGAAAGGGATCCTCTCCGAATCCCTTTCCAATAAACAAGACCCCCAACCTGATGGAAAAACATTTGCTTTTTAAATCCCTGCAAATTCAAAGGGATGCACAGAAATTATTTTCCAAACATGTTTCTTTGTTTTTTTTTTTTTTTTTTTTTCCCTTTAAATCATCAAAGTTATTTCATTTCTTTCTATAAGGGTCATATTTATGAAATTGTCAAAAACAAACCATGTCAAAAAGCTTATAACTTGAAATGATTAAACTTAATCAGATTATGTGCAGATTCAAAATATGAAAAACAAAAACAAAAACCCAAAAAAAAATATGTATAAATAAATAAATATAGTGGTTTTCTCTCAATTCTTTTGGCCATCTGTGATTTTGTGAGAGAAGAAGATTTTTTCCTCAAACAGCTTTTCATTATCTTTCGATTGCCTACCCATTAATACCATACTTTGCAATCATTAGTAAACAAAACACTCACATTCCAAGCAAAACCAACATATTACATATCACATAGAGAGAGAGAGAGGACTTTAGATCGTGGTGGGCAAGAGGAGCTCTGCTTCTGCTTCTGGTCTTGAAGAACAGCCATGGCCATGGACTCTCTCTTTCTCTCCAACTTTATGGTTATGGAGATAAAGAGTGAATAATGGAAAGATGATAAGATGGTTAATGGCAATTTAAATTAAACGAATTTATCATCATGTGGCATTTCAATTCAATAATATATTGTCATGTAGAGAAAAATTTGCATATAACAATACGTTGTTGGACAAGAGACTGATGTGATAAATAATAGCACTCAAATTAAACCCTCTTTTTAACAATTGTAGTATAGATATAAGTAGGGATCGTTCTAGGCCGGGGATTAGGAGGGATTGCTAATCTAATGAAAATTGACTCAAAGATGTAAAAATATGCTTCAAAACACTTAAACAAACTCAAAAGACTCTTAACTAAACTTGTATGACTCAAAACAAACTTCAAAGACTCAAAACAACTCAAAACAATAAAAAAGACTCAATTTAGACTCTAGGACTCAATTTGGACGAAAATACAATTGGTGTTGACTCAAAAGACTCAAAAACACACTTTTGGACAGATTTGAAACAAGTAAGAAAAGGGGATTTGGTTTTGGACGAATTTAAAAGAAAACAAGTAAATTAAAGACTTAAAATAGATTTTGACGAATTTGGGAAAAACCAATGGATGATTAAATAGCCAAGGGATACTTCTCCACACATGATACATTCAAACATAAATTGATTTCCAGTTGCTTTTCCGATAAACCATGAACCTCAACACCCCAGATTAACCGTGACATCACTAATTAACCCTCAGATTTCCCTTAAGTTATTGGCTTGGATGACATCATACGACAACCCAAAGCATTCTTCAAAAGTCCCCTACATGACATCATAATAGAGATACAATCAAAGATCATTACGTTCAATGGAAATCATAAGTATTGACAAAGCACTTGTAACTATGACATCATGATACTCATGCTAGGAATTTACTTAACATGATTGTGAAAACAACCTTAACTACTTGTGAATATAAGTTTGTGACGATTATGTGAAACTCCCTTATATTCTAGCACCAAATTCAAGCATGCAAATTAAGTAGGCCTCCCTAATCAACATACAAGAATAAGTTATCCATCAAACGGTTAAGTAAATTGCATTCACAATTTATGAAATCACAACTGGAATTAATCAACTCATATTATAAACGTAATCATGGTTTCAAAGCATCCCCTAGCTAAAACGTGTTTAGCCTCTCATGTTCGCAACAAAACAAAGGAAAATAGAATTAAACATTGAAAACAAAAGATAGATTACACCTAAAAACGTTCCAACACTCCAACTTGAATGCACAAACGTCCAAGGCTTTGTCTTTCTTCTCTTCTTCCTTGCTAAGTCACGGTACAAGAGTCTAGGGTGATTTTGTGGATGATTTTCTGGGTTGTGAATGGATTTAGGAGGGTAGGGTGGTGCGGCAAGGGTTAGGGATGGTGTATGGAGGCTTGGGTGAAGGTATGGAAGTATATGAATGGTGGAAGGATTGATGGAAGGCTGCGGCAATGATGTGTTTCTGTGTGAATGAGGGCAGATTGTTTGGAAGGGTGATTAGGGATTTATGAAAGGTGCGGCCTTGGTATTTATATGGAAGAAAGAATCCCTAGAGTTTATTACATAGTTTAGGAAAGGATTTAACCCCAAATCCCTAAGGAAAAGGAAACACAAAGTCAGAAATCAAAGGGAAAGGGAATGTTACTTGCGGCCTTGGATTGCAAGAAAGGGAATGTTCTTTATTTCTGAAATTAGGCAAAGATTTTGGAATAGAAAAGGTATGTGAGATGTGGCTGAATTTGAGGTGAAAAAGGAATGTGTTTTAATGACTTAAAATAGGAAATAAGGACCTCCCTTGCACGGCAAGGAAGAGAGACACTAAGGAAGGCCACGGCAAGGAATTTAGGTTGCAAGGGAAGCTTTATTTGTGTCCTAAAATACATAAGGTGCCTTCAAACTTGCTGGAATTTAAGGACATTTAGGATTAGGAAAGGTTAAACCAAAATAGGAAACCTTGGCTTAACTTTCCTACTTCAAATAGGAAACCTTCTTTGACTAGGATTCCTCATTTGATTAGGAATCCTCTTGTGATTAGGAATCCTCTTGTGATTAGGAATCCTAACTCCTTTAGGTCTTCAATTTCGTCCATTCCTTTTGCTCCAAGCATAAGCTATCCATTCCAAGTCCAATTTTGCTCCAAAATGCACCTTTTTGTTTCCTTAACCATATGAACCTAAAAACACACGAAAATAGCTTAAACTACTAAAATAACTACGAACTAACAACATAAATGCACGAAAACAAACTAACTAAGTTGCCTAAATATGCTCCTATCAGAGACGTCACGTAGTTCTGAACCCATTTTATTTAAGTCTTTCTTTAGAGGAAAGGCTAGGTGGTAGTTGGAGTTAATTTTCAAGCATAATAGTGTATTTTAGAAACTATATAGGTAAGAACAGTAATTTTCTAGCCATTTTCAGCGTAATGCTATTCCACTTTCCCAGAAAGAATATAAAATACCAATAGACTTCCCTCCCAATAATAATTTAAGTTTACCTACTGTACGATGAGCATGGGACATATGTTAAAATGTGCTGTAGGACTAGAAGGAGCGCATTCGGTTGTAAGTTAACTAAGCTTTTACTGCTCTCTTTTGTCATGTGACTTATCATGAATTGATAAATTGATAAAACAATGTAAAGTTTCGGATTCTAAGTTTTTGTATTTAATTTTGTTGCATTTGACTGCATTTCACTTCATCATAGCTCTTACCATGATCTAAGAACTCAAAACATGACACATCTCAACCAAAAATAATAATAATAATTGACACACCATTTTGCACTAAATTCATTTTTATTTTGCTTATTATTTTCTAAACTGTCGTTATGTTTCTGTCTCTCCCCCGTCACGATTAGCCACACCATCTCCTCCCTTTTCTATAAAGACTTCGGGGTTCAGCAATTGATGACCTAGTACTTTTCTGGGAAAAAATTTTGCAATTGAACTGAATGCTAGTTAAATAGCCTACGATTTGGATTTAGCCTTTTTGGTTTTGAATAAACCTCATTGACGTGTTATGTTTTGAGTTGTTAGATCATCGTAAGAGTTAATATTAAATGCGGCTTAATGCAACAAAGAAAAATGTAGAGGCTCGGGAATCATAATTACGATCACACTGAATGTGAATATAGTATCTATTCAGTTGTGTATCTCAAGGAAGACTGATTTTTGTGCTAGTAATAATACCTACCTACATGTTCTTTCAAAAAAAAAAAAAAAAAAAAAACACACAAGATAATAATAGCTACATTAAATCAAATATTTTGGAGAAGGATTTAAGTGTTGCATCCAAAAGCTGAGCTTTTAACTCAAACGGCATGTAGCATTTAATAATTCAGTAGAATAGATAAATAAATTGGCTGAGCTTTTGATCTTACAATTTGTTCTATATCATATAATTCCAAGAATGGAAATTGCCAAAGAAAAAACACAAAGGTAAACACTTGTGATGCCACCAATGCACTTTATTCTTTGATGAAAATTACCCAAAATATCTGCAGTACAAATTACAATAACTGCAGCTCCGCTATAGATCGATCATCTCCTGTAAAATAACCAAAAAGCTGAGTGATCACGGCACAAGACGCGCATTTCTTCCTCATGTAGCTTTGGCACGATAATCTTTAAGTTAACACCCAAAAAGAAGTGACCAGATTCTTTGAAGTTTTCCCATCACCAAGGGGCTTTAGCCACCTCTTGGAACATAATTTCCTGCTCCTCTGAATTCGGAGTCTCAATCTCAGAGTCAAGTCGACTATCCATGGCCTCTTTTACTTCCAAAACATTTGCCTCCTTAGGTCTTCTTGATTTTGAAGCAAAACTTGCAAGCTGGTCCAGGCGGGCACGCAGGAACCGAACATTCATGCCTAAATCATCAAAGGCTTTCAGAGTCTTATCCCAGGTCGAAAGACAATCTTCCGGGATAGTGATCTTGCAGGCCCTGATGGCATCTGCAATGTTAACTGTCTCAGAAATTACTCCTGCAATCAGTTTACAGTTCAGACCCTCGAGAAGTTGTCCATGAAGGAAGGAGTTCTGACTGCAGCAAAGCTCATAATACTTGGTCATGATGTATTTTGAAAATTCAGAGTTTATGATTAAACCATTGACCTGAACGTTGAAGTTCTCCAAACAGTTCACTTCTTTGAAAGTGACAACTGACTCTGAAAGTCTAAGACCATCCAGAAATTCAGAACCAACATCTACACAATCATTTTCAGACTGATCTGATATTGGACCAGAGTCCGTATAACAGACTATTGCATTCTCCTGCGGAATAGGTTCCAAAATCTCACGTTCCTTTCCACGTGCAGTAACGCCTCCTGTATGATTTAAATCGCATGAAGGGATCAGAAAAGTAAGAGTTAGTTATAATTACGAAGTCACTTGGCACACGTAATTTGATGAGTTTTGAAACAACTTACCCGTATCCACCTGTTTGATGGGAGGATCTACCCTCATAAGGGGAAAATTACAGTCCACTTCAGTTGATCTAATGATATACACCTGCAACAAATAGATAGCAAAAGAATTGAGTATCTCGTATGCATTCAGAAGTAGCATCTCAAAGCAATAATATAAATCTTTTATTTTTTTTTCTCAAAATTTCCATTCAAGGGAAACCCCACCTAAATTTAAGATAAACGATTTGACAAACTGAAAAAAAAATGTACAATTACCAAATTATGTGACCTTGTTTCTTTAAATCGTGGAATAAATGTTTTCATCTTTGTCACAATCATAATGGCATCGCTGAAATCTATCGTCTATATATAGTTCTACATTTAGAGAAACTCTGATTTACAAGACTAGGTTTGCAAGCCTATGATCATTTCTTTTAAGGAATTGAATTTCTCTTCTCTGAGCTCGTCGATTTTAATTATATGTTAATATGTTGCATAAGGGAACTTAGAATATAACAATTCGGAGTTATTAAACAAAGAATCCACACAAAAAATTCAAGAACTTTCCATCAGTTACCTTAAATTTGAAAGGAGTGACCAGATGGAAAATCACAGCATCTCCCTTCATTATCTTGTGAGCAATTGAAAACCCTCTCCATCCACCACTCAGTCCACCCTTCTCCACAAGATATTTTGTTTCAAATTCTCTCCCATTTTCATCTTCCAAAACAATCATTGAATCTTGTTTTGGCATATGTTCCCTGCGAAATTTCGTAGCAAGATTCTGCCAAACCAAAGTTAGTTCAAATATGTATATCATCCTAATTAGTCAATGCATTCAGATAACTGCACAAATTGTTGAAAAGAGCAAGTGAGGCTTACGAGGCAAAATCCTCCCGAAACTTGTGACGGCATCATAACTTTGAGTAGTGAAGGAAACCTGGGGTTTAGGCTTGCTTCGATCTTCTTTGCTCTTTCCATAACAGAAGACCGAGCTTGGGAGCTCTCATATAAGCTTTCTACTGTAACTCTTACCGGGGTCTTTCGTTTACGACTATTGGTACAAAGATTGAGGGTCCAATGTTACTTTATAACTATTACAAATAGTTTTAATAAGTAAAAGCAAATTACAAAGTAAACTAAATAAATTCACTGACCATTCCAACATAATGGGATTAGTTTTAGCATTCAACACCTGTATTCAAGAACGCGCAAAATATTTGAGTTAGTTCAGTGTATGAATCTACCGATTTTGATTCCATCCAAATCCTCATTGTTAGGATCCTAGGGATCCTCATATCCTATTCCTTCATCGTACACGCGCGGCCAGAAATCATTTTGTTTTTTTTATTTAAAATTAAACACAAATAGTACCTAAAGAAAATTGGCCGCACGATATACGATAAACGGATAAGATATGAGGAGGATCCTCACAAGATCCAGAGAGGATCCTCATACTGAATCTACTGACAAGAAATCGAAAATTCCATAACTACAAGAATGTGGTATTCAGAATCTCGCTAAGGAGCGCCACAGGCCTAAAAACGACACAATTTTTTCGTTGATCGCTTGATTGCATCAATGCTACAGGCCTAAACCCTAATATTTTAATTACGTTGCTGATCAATTCTCTAAAATTTAATTCTTCGCCGTCTGATAGCCATCTGAGATGGAGATTTCATCGAAATTCCCATGTCAAAAAGCTTATAGCTTGAAAATATTGAAATTAATCTATATAGTTTCGAACTTAATGGTAATCATCAAACCATGTAGCTTTCGAAATCGGAAATAACAAGAACCCAATACAAAATCGGAAAAAATAAAAATTAACATATATTATTGTTTCTCACGTTGCTTGTAGTCTTCAGTTGGAGGCATGGAGGTTTTTGCCCAAACGGCTTTTCGGTTGCCATACCCTGCAATCATTAGGAAACGAAAGGTCACATACTCAGATTACAAGCAAAATGCAAATCATATCTGAGAGAAACAAATAGAGAGAGTGGACCTCATGCGGTGGAGGCGGCGGCGGTAGCAGTAGCAGTGGGTTAGTGGAGCTCTGTTTCTGGTCTTGTAGAATAGCCATTGCTTCCACCATGTTCTCTCTCTCTCTCTCTCTCTCTCTTTCTCTCTCTCTCTACAATTGGCATTGATATAGAAAGACAGATGTGTAAGAGAGAGAGGGGGGAAATGAAAAGGACCGTTTAATTTCAAAAGAATCTGGCCTCAAATATGGAGCCAATTTTAAAAAATAATAGGGGATGCTTGGAGACATGTCCAAACCGCGTATTTAACTTACCAAAATGGAAATAACCGTACAAGTGACATCGAATGGAAGGTTAAAATCACGTGCGGTATTTTAAATTAATCACGTGATGGTAAGCAAGTTACTCAGTCATAATTTCACTTTGTAATTATTCTTTTTTATAAAAAATTTATCAGTAATATTAGAGAGAAATTTCTGAATCAAATTTTATAAACCAAATGATGTGGATGTTAATAATTAGATTATTATGTAAGTGTTGATTAACGTACTTATTTTTTATTGGTGACATATTATTTGAGTTACAAATTTGATCTCCCTAGCATTATTCACACTTATATGCAACTGGACGCCAAAGTGATGTTCTAAATCATTATCATAATGAAAATAAAACACGAAGTGACGCATTTGTAGGCCTGTGATCACCCGGGCATCCCAATTACATGTATTGTTATTTATGCAAGTTTTTAAGGCCCCCTCCCCCTTTTTTTTGGCCATTGTGATTGTATGTTGTAGCATGAAGCATGATAGGTCAGGCTTATTTTATCCAATATCATTTATTTAAAAAGTAGGGTTAAGTACGAATAACTACCCAATTTTAAAGGGATAATTTCAAATTGGTCTCAACCTTTTCAAATTGGTCTCAACCTATACACTGATGTCAATGATAAAGAGCTCCCTTTTATCATGGAAGACTTGCAATATCTTCGTGGGAACTTCCAAGTGTTTTCGGCCATTAGTCTTTTTGGTCTAACTTAAGCGGAGCTGGAACGGATTGAGTGACTTAATTCGTTTATCGACGCTCATGATCCATGAGTGTAGTTCAGCTCCAATTTCGCAGGGCAACTCGAGAGAAAGACATGTCAAAGACTGGTGAGGCAAAATACAATATTGCATCAAAATTGGCCACGAAGGATTCAGGTACTAGGTCCCCATTCCCTGAAGACGCCTCAAAGATATCTAAATAAGGTCTCCAACCTCAAGAGTGAGATGCTAAGGATGAAGATGGGGAGCCCAGCAAAGGGGAATTATTGGATTGATGAAGACCAAAGGAATGCCATAGGCCATTCAATTATGGACAATATGGAGATTAGCATGGTGCACGTTCTTCCCGAGTTTCAGTTCAAAGAAGGCCAACCAAATGCACTTAGTGGGGATGTTAAAGTTGGAGACATGGCCCAGGTTGATTTTGTGACAACTGATCTAACTGAAACACTCAAGTAAGAGGTATGGTTAAAGGTCACTTTTTTTTAAATTTTTGCTCATGATTTGGCCATTAATCTGCGACACCTCAAGCTTTTATATGTAACTACCTCTATTAAAGGCGTTGCAGCCACAATGAACATTATGTTAATTGATAGGATTTTTACCACCTGCGTAAAAGGGTTAAAAACACCTAAAATACTTGCAAGAGAAACAAGGTTATTGTAGTATAATTGGCTCAAGCAAGGTCGTTTTCCACAAGGATTAATTTAAAGAGATCAAAGCAAAATCAATTCTCAACTAATTAATTAAAACAAAGTTTTTCTTTTGAAAGAGGTGATTTAATGACCTAAACTAAGAAAAAACGAATTTAATTAGAAAGATTACTTAAAAACCACAACTTTAAAGAAAGATAAGGGAAACAATTTTTAGGATTCAAAGAGAGAAAGTACTAGGGTTCTGCCGTCACCCTAACAATCCTATGTAGCTTTTCTAAATTACTTACGAACCATACATGTATGTTTTGAAGGTTAGGTTTTCCTAGAGTATATCCTACTTGGAACCTCCAACATAGAATGTATATCTAACATGCAACCCGTCCGTGGTGTTCAGATCGAATGTGAACATGCAAGACTCATTAAGTTTTATGAAAACCTTCTTAAAAAAAACCATATAACCCTTAAAACGTGTCGTCCATCCTAAGAGGTTACACATATTAACCACAAGAAGCTTTAGTCAATTTTAGGGACAATCCTCCACCAAAATTGCATCAAATAACTTTTCCAAATATCCTAATGGTCGCGAATCACTAAGACAAATAGATAGTTTAAAGCACAGTGATTAACATTCCAAAACCTACATGCATAAATTCATAAGCAAAGTAAAAAGAGACTACATATTCTTGCTAAGGATCATGGCCTCGCCCTAGCAAAAAGAATTAGTTACGCATATTCATACTAAAAATCATAGTCTTTATTGAAATAGAAAAAGAATGAAAAGAAAACACCTTGTAGAATAAAATCTGAAAATCTCTAAACTTTGCCCAAAATCTTCTCTCCAAAAATTGCATGCGTTCTCCTCTCTCCCTCCTTCTAACCCTAGGTCTGCCAAAAAGGCTTATTTATACTACCCTCCTTAAACCCTCCTGATAAAAAATGGTCTTAGAATAAGACTAGGGAACTAAATAAATTAAAATAAAATAGGAAACATAATCCTAAATTAAATTGGTAAATTCGCCCAAAATCTTGCACAGCCACGTTTTGGACCCATATCAGCTCCAAAATGGGCCCAAAATAGCTGGATTTAAAGCTTCGACTATTCTGAACACTTCTCCAGAAGGCCACGAACCCATCTGAGGTCATCTTTGGCTCCAAAAATGCAGTTTAAACCCATAAACGTCAATTTCCAGCATCGCGCACTGCTCTTTCATTTAATCTCCAGAAAATAACCGCTTAGTAGAAATTGTTGAGATTTTGACACGAACAAGCTAAGGAACACACGAATGTCCTCCAATTTGAATCACTCCAAAATTCGTCCGTTTGGTCATGTTTTGCTCCAGAGGAAGTCTAATGTCCTACGTTGAGAATATAAAGCAAAGTATCAACATTCTACCAAAATAATTACCAAATTATACTAAGAATAGGGTGAAATATATAATATAATATCGACTCATCAAAATACCCCCAAACTTAGCTTTTTGCTTGTCCTCAAGCAAAATTAAACTAGGAAACAAAAATAAAAGCTAACAAACTAGAACTTAACTAAAACTAAATGACAAAAATTTTCCCTTCAAAGTTGCAATCCATAGAAAACGTTAAAAACCAGAACATCTTTTCAAAAGATTCAGCTAATCCCACCATAGAGTCTAAACCATTTAGAATCAATTAGAAAAGAATTCATGAACTTCCTTTGGTGAAAAGTGAACCAACATGGTTAAGGAGACTCGACTAAAACCTCTACCTTTTGTCCTTTTTTATTTCACTCATACTAACTTTAAAGATAGCTATTTGTTTTTCGATTTTTTTTTTATAACTATTTATTTATTATATTTTTTTTTCTATTTTTTTTTTCAGTAACAGTAGTGGTCGTGCAATGTCAATTCACTTAAGCTTTCTGTCCAACCCATGTAGCGAGCTTTAGGTCAATGACTCCTAAACCACAAGGGCTTTAGGGCACTAGGTGTAGAACACCCCTAAGGACTTATTAACTCGAGTTGGAAAGGCTACAAAACCGACTAACCACCCCGCCCCATGCCAAAACTCTACCGTTTGACGCGAGAATCACTGCTGATTAGGCAGGACTGGCCCGGTTACTAGGCAAAACCTCGGGTGGAACAATTATTACTTTATTCATAACAATAACTAACTTCGCTTAGAACAAAAATTAAAATTAAACTTAGACTAAAAGTAAGTGTTTCAATCTCACTCCCCACAAACCATGTTGATGTGAATGTGCAAATTGTCAAAGTATAACCCATGAATTAGTGTCTAAGCAACGATAAATAGAAAAGACTCTACTGTGAGATTAACCTTCACCATGTCCATTTGTTCTAACGGTTAAAATAATCTATGGATATTAACTTAAAAAGAATGATTTTTATTTTTTATTTTTTTATTCAAAAATTAAAAACCTAAAAATTCTAATTCCCACCCCCAAACTTAAATCACACATTGTCCTCAAGGTGTGGAAAATAGAAGAAAAACAAAAAGAAAATAAATAAACTAACACAACAAAATAAAAGTAAATAACCTCCCTAAATAACTAGAAATAGACAAATGAAAAATAAAACAAAAGACAAGCGACCAATAAAATGATACACTACAAAAGAATAAACTAAAAAGAAAAGGAAGTGGACACACCTGGAATCGAACCCGTGACCTGGAATTGGGCTATATAGGCTGACTGAGCATTTGGGGTTGGAGTTTGAAAATTTTGGGCATTGGACAAACATTTGGCAGTGGAAAGATTACACAAGGGTCCATTGAAAAACATGTGGGTGGAAACCCATTATGCAGGACAAACGTGATGGCCCAAAAAAAAATACAAAAGCACGGGAGACACACGGAATGCATCCGTACACCCCCACGCTTACCGGCTTGTGAAAAAAAACTTAGGATTCCCTTCCCATGTCTGCACATGTAACCTCGAGCCTAGAGCCAAACGGCTCTTTCTTTACTCCCTCATCGTTTCTGATGAAGCGTATGAATATATCAAACCCAAATCGAGTGGCAGGCATGCATTCTCAAAACCCTCAGCTGCGCAATCATGTTCTCTAACCTCGAGCCCAGAGCTCACCATTTCAAAACTTCTCCTTTCTCTCATTTCTAATTATATTAAGAAATCCTAAGCCTTTTTGCTCTAGAGAAACGGAGAGGTCTCACATTTCTCTCAACCCTCTTTTCTTTAAAATGGTTCTCATTCCTCTATACTGGAAAACATTAGCCGCTCCTCCAACCTCATTGCAACATCAATGTCTCGGTAACACAACCCGAAATCGCAAAGGTAAAACTCTTTCCTTGCTGCCATTGTATGCTAGAGAGCTTATTTTGATGGGAAAAGTAAAGAACTAACACATGCAACTCTTTTCTCTGCGAGGACTCTTGGATCCACAGCAAAAGTAAGGCACCAACACCCAATCTTCATAGATCCATAGCTAATACTCCAAAACTCATCCATCAGCAGGTAGAAACTTAGTCTCCCCTACACTTTGGTTTTGATTCTAGATTTTAAGTAACATTTTTCTGTGATGTGACTGACCAAAGGGCGAAAAAAAATATAACATCCATCCGTGTTCTTATTTATGCACACAGCAGAGTTCGAAAACTTGGATGACGAAAAACAGCCAAGCCAGACACAAATAACACGGATCGAAAACCAAAGGTAACAATTCATACTCTTATGTGACTGTGGTATGCCTGCATGTTGAGGATCTGCTGGGTTGCATGGGTGTATTATCTGTGAGATCACCCCCAAACTTGATATAAATAATAACTGGACACTGTAGTTGCTGGACAAAAGAAATAACACTGAGATCTGTATAGGGACCATGTATGCGGACCATTTGGAACTTAAAACACTGCTTCTCCCTATAATATTCGTGAATGACAACCTGGATCACCCCTGAACATATGTACGAACTTTTTGGATTTGACCCGTTCTGAGGATGGATAAAGAACTCACCCCCCAAAACTTAAATAATGGCATACCCGGCATCTTCGAAACTAAATGGCGTAGATCTGCATAGCAATAATGATAGCTCCTCAGTATGTATCAACTTGATGTTTTTTTTTTTTTTTTTTTTTTTTGTTGCAGGAACACTGGAGATCTCCAAAAGCAGCTCAATGGCGGCTAAGGCGTGCATGGAAGAATGGCCGCGTAGCAAAACAGAGGTATAACGTTCTATCGTTTTGTGGCTGGATCTATGATTCTGCAAGAGCTTTGTAATTTCTACATTATATGTCGGCATGGTCTAGGAATGTGGTTGATGGTAATGTAGACTTGCCACTGGGTGCGTGATTCCAGCCTAAAATAAGTTCTCTGTGTATACATGCTTGTTTGCTTTGTTTGTTGTCTGCAAAAACCCACATTATAAGATCAGAGATAGATTATAGAAAATACTAACTGTAAACTAAAAATTAAACAAGTAAAATAAGAATTATTATTATTATTAATTTTTTTTTTTTTTTTTTTTGAACTTTTCTTTGTTTTTTTTTTTTTTAGATTGTCGACACTAAATGATAGCCTAGGAATTTAAATGTAGCTAGACGGAAAATAATGAAAAAAAACAAACAGAAAGTAATGAAAAAGTTAGAAAATTGGGTTGCCTCCCAATAAGCGCTTTATTTAATGTCTGTAGCTAGACTGAACAGAAGCCTGGTGATTAACTTGCTGGATCCTTCAGAGTCATAGACTCGGCTGCACTGTCAAAGGGTGACTTTAAGTATGGTTTCAGCCTGTGACCATTCACCTTGAATGTGTTGCCATTAATCTGGCTTGTAATATCAACTGCTCCATGAGGATAAACCTTAGTAACCAAGTAGGGTCCATTCCATCGAGATTTCAATTTCCCTGGAAATAACTTTAATCTGGAACTGAATAACAACACTTTCTGCCCTGGCTGGAAATCTGTCCTGAGAATTTGTTTATCATGGAAGGCCTTTGTTTTGTCTTTGTATATGCGTGCATTTTCATAAGCCTCCTGGCGAATTTCATCAAGCTCATTGAGCTGCAGCTTACGCTTTTCCCCTGCTGAATCGTAAGCAAAGTTTAACTCCTTAATAGCCCAAAACGCTTTATGCTCTAGCTCCATAGGTAAATGACAAGCTTTGCCATACACAAGCCGAAACGGGGACATCCCAATGGGTGTTTTAAATGCTGTTCTGTATGCCCACAATGCATCATTTAATTTCAAACTCCAGTCTTTACGAGTGGAGCCAACTGTTTTCTCCAAAATACGCTTTATGTCCCTGTTTGAAACCTCAACCTGCCCTGATGTTTGTGGATGGTAAGGAGTGGCAACACGATGAGTTATCCCATATTTTGCAAGTAATGCAGCAAACTGTTTATTAATGAAATGCTTACCCCCATCACTAAGTATAACTCGCGGGATGCCAAATCGTGGAAATATGACCCCTTGGAGGAATTTTAGAACCACTGATCCCTGATTAGTTGGTGCTGCAATCGCCTCGACCCACTTAGAAACATACTCAACCCCGACCAAAATATATTGATTGCCATGTGAAGATGGGAATGGTCCCATAAAATCAATACCCCAAACATCGAATAATTCAACAACCAAAATACCATGTTGTGGCATCTCATTCCGTTTGGACTGATTTCCCACTCTCTGACAACGATCACAAGATTTACACCAGTTATGAGCATCCTTGAAAAGAGAAGGCCAAAACAGCCCACTTTGTAGAATTTTAGCTGCTGTCCTTGTAGGCCCAAAATGGCCACCACAAGCATAATGATGTGCAAACTTTAAAACACTGTCTTGTTCCTCTTCTGGAATACATCTACGAATAATCTGATCTGGACAGTATTTGTACAGATACAGCTCATCCCAAAAATAAAATTTTGCATCTGCCAAAAATTTCTTTTTCTGCTGATAACTTAGATCTGGATGAATAACTCCCCTGGCCAAATAATTAACCAAATCTGCAAACCATGGTGTTTTGTGCTGGACAGCCAACAATTGTTCATCAGGAAAATTTTCATTGAGAGGCAATGTGTCTTCTTCTGCAGTAGCAGAATTTATTAATCTTGATAAATGATCAGCCACCACATTTTCACTGCCCTTTTTGTCTCTAATTTCCAAATCAAACTCTTGAAGTAAAAGAATCCACCGAATAAGTCGAGGTTTAGCATCCTTTTTAGATAATAAATACTTCAAAGCAGCATGATCTGTGTAGACAATTACTTTAGCCCCAATTAAATACGAACGAAATTTCTCTAATGCAAAAACAACTGCCAACAATTCTTTCTCAGTGGTTGCATAGTTCAGCTGTGCATCATTGAGAGTTCTGCTAGCATAATAAATGACTTGAGGAATCTTGTCTTTTCGCTGTCCAAGAACTGCCCCAACTGCATAATCTGATGCATCACACATTAGTTCAAAAGGTAAGTTCCAGTCCGGAGCTGCAATAATCGGTGCTGAAGTTAAGAGTGTTTTCAACTTGTTGAAAGCCTCCAAGCATGCATTATCAAAAACAAACTGTGCATCCTTAGCCAATAAGTTACACAAAGGTCGGCTAATCTTGGAGAAATCCTTGATAAACCGTCTGTAAAACCCAGCATGTCCAAGAAACGAACGAATGCTCTTCACAGTAGTAGGAGAGGGCAACTTAGCAATAACATCAATCTTAGCTTTATCAACCTCAATACCCTTGCTAGATACCAAGTGCCCTAAAACAATTCCTTGTTTAACCATAAAATGACACTTTTCCCAATTCAATACGAGATTAGTTTCTTTGCAACGCTCAAGAACCAAAGATAAATTCTGCAAACAATGATCAAACGAATCCCCAAAAACAGAAAAATCATCCATAAATACTTCAACAACTCGTTCAACCAAACCTGAGAATATGCTCATCATGCATCGTTGGAATGTGGCAGGTGCATTGCATAATCCGAAAGGCATTCTTCTGTAAGCAAATGTACCAAAAGGGCAGGTGAATGTGGTCTTTTCCTGATCCTCCGGTGCAACTGGAATTTGATTGTAGCCTGAATACCCATCTAAAAAACAATAGAAAGCCCGACCAGCCAATCTTTCCAACATTTGATCAGTAAAGGGTAGCGGAAAGTGATCCTTTCTAGTACTTGTATTGATCTTCCTGTAATCAACGCACATTCGCCACCCAGTAGTTAAACGTGTAGGCACAAGCTCGTTATTGTCATTTGTCACAACTGTAATTCCAGTGCGTTTAGGTACCACTTGAGTAGGACTTACCCATTTATTATCTGAAATTGGATAAATCATTCCAGCATCTAAAAGCTTCATAACCTCATTTCGAACAACTTCCTTCATGATCGGATTCAATCGGCATTGAGCATCAATGGTGGGTTTGACACCCTCCTCCATCAAAATTCTGTGCAGACAGAGTGTTGGGCTGATCCCCTTAATATCTGCAATTGTCCACCCAATGGCATCTTGAAAATTTCTCAAAATACGCAGCAATTTGTCTTCCTCAGTTGGAGATAAATCTGCAGAAATAATAACTGGCAGTGAAGAATTAGCACCTAAATAAGCATATTTTAAGTGTGCTGGTAATGGCTTCATTTCCAGCTTAGGTGGCTGTATTTTTGAAGGCTGTAATGGCATTTTTGGTTCTCCCAAACTCTCAAAAACGTGCCTCCACTTTGGCTGGTGTAAAGGGACACTTTCCAAAGCTGTAACATACTCAAAAGCTTCTTCATCTTCAGTTTTGGCGTCTTCAAAACCATGTAAAACTTTTAACAGTGGATCTGCTGTCAAACTGGGCATAATATCTGCATGCATGATGCCTTCTAACACGTCAACTCTCATACAATCTTGCATATCACTAGGCCTCTTAGTTGCTTCAAATAAATTAAACACAACAGATTGTTCTTGTACTCTAAGCGTCAATGTGCCAGCTTCCACATCTATCAAAGTTCTAGCAGTTGCCATGAATGGGCGCCCCAAAATAATTGGTGTTTGCATATCTTCATCCATATCCAAAACCACAAAATCTGCTGGAAGGTAGAGATTATCCACTTTAATAATAAGATCTTCAATAATACCCCTAGGATAAGCAACCGAACGATCTGCTAACTGTAAAATAACAGATGTTGGTTTGATTTCTCCTTGTCCCAGCCGCTTAAAAACAGAAAAAGGCATTAAATTAATACTAGCACCCAAATCAATTAAAGCACGTTTAAACTCAGAATTTCCAATTGTGCATGAAATTGTAAAACTCCCTGGATCTTTTTTCTTTGGTGGTAGCTTTTGTAATAGAACTGCACTGCACTGCACTGCTCTGTGAGAATCACTTTTTCGAAGTCCACAAGCTTCTTTTTATTTGTGCACACATCTTTCAAAAACTTGGCATATGAAGGAATGTTCTTGATTGCATCAATTAATGGCAGATTAATTTGAACTTTAGCCAATGTCTTCATGAAATCTGTTAATTGTTGATCTTTTGCATGTGGCTTCAATCTTTCGGGATATGGCATAGGTGGAACATAAACACGTTTTGACTTTTCTGCATTTTCTGCAGTAGGCACTGCAGTATTTTTGGATCTGTCCAGTGGTTGGGTAGATTCTGCAGAACTTTCAGAACCTGTTTGTGGCTGCACAGGTGCTACCCGTGAAGCTCCAGCACTGTTTTCTTTATTTTCTGCATCACGGTTGTCATAACTTTTACCACAACGCAATATTCTAACAGCATTACAATCTGCATTTCCACGTGGATTTGGGATAGTTTGGCTGGGAAATTTTCCTGGTTCTCTGCCTGAAAACTGGAGTGAAAGCTGCCCCATTTGCTGCTGTAGATCTTTCATTGTTGCTTGTATGTTCTGAATGTTTTGGTTGGTTTTTTGAATTTCTTGTTTTGTTGCATCAAAACTTGCCTTAGTATGATCTGCCAATTTTTCAATTGCGACTTCCCAAGAAGGTTTAGCTTGAGCATCAGGTTGCTGTATTTGTTGTTGAAACTGTGGTTTAACCTGTTGATCTCTATTCCACTTGAAATTTGGGTGATCTCTCCACCCGGGGTTATAAAAATTTGAGTACGGATCATTTCTAGGCCTTTGATAATTATTGAATGCGTTAATCTGCTCTGTAACATGCTCCGGGTATGCGTCCCTATGTGGGCAACCCATAAAATCATGTGTTGTAATGCCACAAATGGTACAGGCGGCTGCAGTAGGCTGCTGGACAGCAACCTGCTGCATAGGTGCTGCCATTCTTTGTAAAAGCATGTCAAATTTTGCATCAAAATTTTCTAACTTCTTCTCCATCTTTTCTATTTGTGCAGATACATGAGGTGAGCCACTAGACATCTCAAAAACACCCCTGGTCTGAGGTATATCAATTGCCCATTGTTGAGATTCTGTCGCCATGTTCTCAAACAATTGATACGCTTGCAGTGCATTTTTGTCTGAATACGTTCCTCCACAAGAAGCATTAACAAGAGTCTTAGTAGTCAAATTCAGCCCTCTGTAAAATAAATTCATTTGAGTGTCACCATTAATGCCTGAATGTGGACATTTCCTGAGTAGATCCTTGTAACGTTCCCATGCTTCATGAATTGCTTCATTAGGTTTCTGAGCAAATGTTAAAATTTGAGTACTCATATCAAGTGTTTTTGAAGCTGGGTAGTATTTGCTTAAAAATGCAGCACTAAGTTGGTTCCACGAAGTAATGCTTCCAGATGGTAGTGTGAGTAACCATCTCCTTGCACCATCCTTCAAAGTGTACGGAAAAAGTCTGAGTTTGATAGATTCTGCTGAAAATCCTCTCACCAAAATGTTTTTGCATCCCATTAGAAATTCAGTTAGATGCATGTTAGGATCATCTGTTGATAAACCATGAAATGAAGGTAGAATCTCCAACATATGATGTCGTATCTCAAACGTAGACCCATCTTCAACTTCAGGATAGGTAATGCAGCTGGGCACCTCTGTGGCATGAGCAGCCAAAGATTCCCTCAGTGGTTGTCCCGCTGTTGGTAGAACAAATGCCATAGCTTCCTCGCTGTCCAAAACCCCAGTAAACCGATTATGCAAAACTGTTCCCTGCAGTGAAGGTTCACACTGTAGATTTTGCTTTCTAAGTCTCTGTCTGGCAGTACGTTCAGGTTCTGGATCAAAATTTGCAATTTGCTGTTTGTGTGATCTGGTACAGACCATGCACAATCTGCAGAGAATAAAAAAAAATGAAAATTAAATATTTTATTTTTATTTTTTATATACGGGAATAATTAATTGAGAATATGATAGACAAAAATCTATTTAAAATCAATCCCCGGCAGCGGCGCCAATTTCTTGATAGGATTTTTACCACCTGCGTAAAAGGGTTAAAAACACCTAAAATACTTGCAAGAGAAACAAGGTTATTGTAGTATAATTGGCTCAAGCAAGGTCGTTTTCCACAAGGATTAATTTAAAGAGATCAAAGCAAAATCAATTCTCAACTAATTAATTAAAACAAAGTTTTTCTTTTGAAAGAGGTGATTTAATGACCTAAACTAAGAAAAAACGAATTTAATTAGAAAGATTACTTAAAAACCACAACTTTAAAGAAAGATAAGGGAAACAATTTTTAGGATTCAAAGAGAGAAAGTACTAGGGTTCTGCCGTCACCCTAACAATCCTATGTAGCTTTTCTAAATTACTTACGAACCATACATGTATGTTTTGAAGGTTAGGTTTTCCTAGAGTATATCCTACTTGGAACCTCCAACATAGAATGTATATCTAACATGCAACCCGTCCGTGGTGTTCAGATCGAATGTGAACATGCAAGACTCATTAAGTTTTATGAAAACCTTCTTAAAAAAAACCATATAACCCTTAAAACGTGTCGTCCATCCTAAGAGGTTACACATATTAACCACAAGAAGCTTTAGTCAATTTTAGGGACAATCCTCCACCAAAATTGCATCAAATAACTTTTCCAAATATCCTAATGGTCGCGAATCACTAAGACAAATAGATAGTTTAAAGCACAGTGATTAACATTCCAAAACCTACATGCATAAATTCATAAGCAAAGTAAAAAGAGACTACATATTCTTGCTAAGGATCATGGCCTCGCCCTAGCAAAAAGAATTAGTTACGCATATTCATACTAAAAATCATAGTCTTTATTGAAATAGAAAAAGAATGAAAAGAAAACACCTTGTAGAATAAAATCTGAAAATCTCTAAACTTTGCCCAAAATCTTCTCTCCAAAAATTGCATGCGTTCTCCTCTCTCCCTCCTTCTAACCCTAGGTCTGCCAAAAAGGCTTATTTATACTACCCTCCTGATAAAAAAATGGTCTTAGAATAAGACTAGGGAACTAAATAAATTAAAATAAAATAGGAAACATAATCCTAAATTAAATTGGTAAATTCGCCCAAAATCTTGCACAGCCACGTTTTGGACCCATATCAGCTCCAAAATGGGCCCAAAATAGCTGGATTTAAAGCTTCGACTATTCTGAACACTTCTCCAGAAGGCCACGAACCCATCTGAGGTCATCTTTGGCTCCAAAAATGCAGTTTAAACCCATAAACGTCAATTTCCAGCATCGCGCACTGCTCTTTCATTTAATCTCCAGAAAATAACCGCTTAGTAGAAATTGTTGAGATTTTGACACGAACAAGCTAAGGAACACACGAATATCCTCCAATTTGAATCACTCCAAAATTCGTCCGTTTGGTCATGTTTTGCTCCAGAGGAAGTCTAATGTCCTACGTTGAGAATATAAAGCAAAGTATCAACATTCTACCAAAATAATTACCAAATTATACTAAGAATAGGGTGAAATATATAATATAATATTGACTCATCATTAATTTCCGTTATGAACCCGTTAAAGAGATCCAGGGATGAGCTTATACCGTCTGGCATCACCATGAACAGCTTTATCCGCGACAAATCCTCTACCAAGGGCATTCTACCTCTACAAGTTACTATAGCTGGCATACCACTTATGACAACATTTTTCGTCGTCTATTCAAGAACCGAGTATAGTGCTTTGCTCGGTCGAGATTGGATCCATCAGATTGGTTGCATCCCTTCATCGTTATACCAATTCTTGATTTTCTGGCATGGCAAGATGGATGTTGTTCACCTGGCCGACATGCAACTGTTTTAGACTAATATGCTCCATGATTGTTATTTTGATGACTAGGTTAGCTACATCATACTCCAAGGGCTCAATGAACATGACTGGTCCATCAAGATCTTTATTTAGAAAACTGTCAAAGTATGCGCCGAAACTGTTCAACATGATTCAATGTGAGTCGGTTTGGCTGATCCCATTGAGTATTTTGATACGTAATCACACCAACACTATAGAAAGAGAGGCCACATTTTCATCTATAATGGAACATTTGATGGCCCATTAGTGTGCGATATCTCGACTCCCCTTTTTGAGCGTCAATCGAACTCGAGGATAGTCAACCTGAGGTCCAAGACCGTTTAGAAGAAATAAATGTGAGAACGGTTGAGGACCTCCAAGACCGTCTAGCAGACTTCTTATACGCTAACTCCTTATCGTATGGTAGCTACCTATTTGGCCGAAATGTTCTCTGATATCATGTTCAAACATATTTCCAAGGCAAAAAAGTGTGACTCCAATGAACTTGCCCAAATCGCCTCTTGTGCCCAACTTTCGAAAGGCAAAATGAGACGGGTAATGACGATGGAAAATGGCTACTCTTGACTCTAGTTAATCAACAAGCCGACTAGAGAGACAACTTAATTAGGACTTGACTAATGTTTTTGCCACCATTGGTAGAGTGCAGAGTACCAAAGGATATCTACGTCATAGAGGTAATACCACCAGAGTGGAGAAAATCAATCATGCAATATCTTAATAATACATGGGAAACATAATCCAAAGATCAAGTATTATGCTACGAGGTACGTCATATATCAAAATGAACTCTACATATAAGGTGAAGATGGCCTTCGAGTGCTAAGTCTTAAGCAGATTGAAGTGACCCAAGTAATGGTAGGCATCTTGAAAAAGATGGTCAGGGAAAAACCTGGTTTGTGGGTATGATGCAACATTCAAGTATGTTGCAATCTTGCCATTGAAAATGAGTGTTAACTCATTATAGGTCGCCAAGTAGACCCAATTATCAAGCGGAGAATATACACAAGCAATGATGCAAGAATTATAAGATTTGGAATAACCAAGGTTCAACACAAGCAATCTTCTTATGGCTCAAAAGAAGATTGCCGAAAAAGCATATAGCAAGAGGGTTAAGCAAAAGTCATTCAGCGAATGAGACTTGGTATGGAAAATAGTTTTGCCCACTGAAACTATGGATCCAAGACATGGAAAATGGTCTGCCAAATGGGAAATGCCTTTTGTTATTCACAGAGTTTTTGGCAATAGGGCATATCAACTTGCAGATAAAATTGGTTTGTTACATAAAATGTAATCAATGGGAAGTACTTGAAAAAGTATAATCCAATTATTTGGAGATGGCCGAGCACAGTTGACAGGGTACAACTATGGCAGAATTATATTAATTAAATGATAGATTACAAATAAATTCGACTTTGCCATAATTCAACACCAAGGAAGTTAGAGAAAAAAGGGATATATTGAGGAGTTGTCGGCAAAAATCATTGAAGTCTTTCTTACCGCAAAACTTTGCCTACCAAAACACATGGCCTAATGTTAAGCCGTTGAACCTTCGTCGGTTACAACATCCAGAAACAGTTGATTATATAGTTGGGCCACAAGATGCCAGAAAACTAAACTCGCACCAAGCCCAACAAGATCGACTAAAAGCACAAGGTGGTGAAATCCTGCAACCTTTGAATAGACGACGATCCCAGTAGAAACCAAATGATGAAAGGTGAAGGTGTCTACACCGAGAATGGCGCTAGTATAGTCTTCCATTGCCATCTCGATCAAAATGATAATATGCATTGAAATTTTGACTATGCCATAAGAGCCTAGCCAATTCTCAGAATTGACGGAGAAAACTTCTAGTTGTTGGCTTGTGAAACTTATACTGTTGACATAAGAGACCAAGCACCATTGAAATTGGGCTTTGCGAAGCTTGCCCAAAGATTTTTTTTTTTAGAGGGTGGGTCAGGAAGATTTGCCCTCATTGTTTTTTTTAATAGAGTAGGGATAACATGAGAAAAACATATTAAAGTTTTAGAATAAGACGATGGCAATTTCATTGAGCAAAGGTAGGATGTGAGATAGAAAGGAAGCCTTCTCGGTTTTTATAGACAAGTTATTGAGGAGCTAAAGGGTTTCTGACTGGGAGACTCGAAAGGATAACCTTCAGATATGTCTTGTAATCATTGTGATTGTAATGATCGAACAACTCAGATAAATGCTTGCGCTACCCAAGGGCTTTTCTAAAAGTGGTGGTTTGATTCTTGAGGTAGACCTATTAGAGGAAAATACCTTTTGATGGCTCTATATAGAAAGTTGTGGCACGTTTATAGCTGAAATTTGAAGAGTCGCCTTTAGAATTTGACGCATGGCAGGAATAAGGGAAATATGTATCAGTGGAGGTGAAGTGTGCGTGCAAGCTGGGATCGAGGCATTTACTGCAAGATAATGGGCAATTTAGAAAAAAATATTCA